GAGCGTCACAAGTTTTTTTTGTAATTCGTCTTTTCCTCTTCTTCTACAATCGCCCTATCACTCCCGAGGTCATGCCGAGGTCATGCCGAGGAAGGCTCTCCTTCCTGCATCCCTCCGGCTGCTGTCCCCGCAGCGCCTTCTCACCGCCCACAGCTGCCCAGCCCTCTGGCTGCTATACCTGCATCGCCCACTCAGCGCCCACTGTTGCCGCCATCCATCCGTCCCACACCAAGCGATTCCTTCTTTGTGGGCGGCGGTGGCACGGAGCCAGGGTTCCTACTTGTGATTGCAATCCCTCACGCAGGATCAACAACGGTGCAGGCGATGCTCAATCACATACCTGGCATCTACATTACGGGCGAGCATGTCGTGACTGACTTGTTGAGAACTAAGGCGTTATTGGGGCTAGCGGCGCCAAGCGGTGCTCGAGGCGAGGTCACTGGTTTGGAGAGCTCCGACTATCACAGGGAAGTGTCGCCACAACACGAATTGTGCGCAATGCAATCTGTCGTAAAGGCTAGGATGGGCGAGTACAACCGGTTTGATTTTTTCTCATTGGTTCGAAGGAGATCAACATGGAACGGTCACTCATCCATTACCCCTTGTTATTCCCATGCGCGAGGTATGTGTTCGTTGCACGGCAAGTTGTCGAGGGGGGCAAGGGAACACAGACACGTGACCTGAACGAGTTTTACAACGCCTTGAATGCAAATGACAGCAGGCGCGCCTATTGGATCACATTGGAAGATTTCAAGAACGGCTCGACCGAAAAGTTCAATGATCTTCTGGGCTGGATCGGCTTTTCACGGTGCCGGTACACCAAAGTGCATGCAGGCAAATCTGGCAACACCTTGGCCCAGATGATCTTTTCCGGCGGGGTGAGCGGCCATTGTGTTTACAGGCGCCAGACGCAAGCGCCAGCTTTGCAGGCACCGTCCCGCGACAGGCACTGCTCGGACTGCGGCGCCGCGCCCGTCGAAGAGCCTCTGTGCGACCCCTGTCGTGGAGATCGCGACTTCGTTTTCATCTTGGGGTCCTCCGACGCTGGCCTCCTCGCGCAGGCAAGCCTGAACCAGGTCCCCGGCGCGTGCGCGGTGGGAGCGCAAGTGCTCTCGAAGATGTTGAGCCGCCTTGCGGTGAGCCAGATGATAGCGAAGAGCAAAACCGAGTCCCCGTTCGCGTCCTCCACAACTGATCATCGCTACCACATGCCGGCATCCGTGAGGCGCCAGCAGCGCGCCGTGCAGTCGTTCCTGAAAGCGAGAATGGGGGCATTCAGCGTGTCCTCGACACGCGTCATAGGCTCCACGGAGACGGGCGACCCGAGCAAGTTAAACTTCAGCTTCCCCGCCCCCTGCGCCAGGTTCGCGCTGACCTCGGGGGCGCCTGCGCGGAGCACGGCGCCGCCCGTCTCGCCGGACAGGATATTCCAGATGCCTGCGCTCTCTGCGGATGCGCTGAATGACCTTCTGGTGTGGCTCGGCTTCTCTGACTGCCGCTTCGGGCCCTCCTCGCCAGGCGCGAGCATGCGGGCCCCAAAAATGCACACCGCCACCACCACCACCACCACCGCCGCCACCTTCCTCACCCTTCACCCTCCCCCAGGAGAGAAGGGGGGGAAGAGGGGGGTGGGGGAGGCGGGGGGGATGGAGTTGGTGGTGATGCATATTCTCGGGACCGGCGAAGCAAGGTGCCGTTCCACATCGCAGGGAGCTGCAGCTACTCTCGAGGCTGACGCTGTCGGGGCGGCGGCTTCGAGCGCGGGCGCGAGGCATCTCTCCAGAGCACGCGCAGCTTCTGGGAGGCGTCACCTCGGGCCGCGGCCGCGTGTCAGGAGGATTGAGGACCTTATGGGGCAGTGGATGGGGAGGGGGGGGGCGGGGTCGGCGGGCCCGATGACGTATCATCCGGCTTGTAAGTCTGATAAGTTAGAAGACTTCTAGGCGGGGGCCCAGTTTCTGAAAAAGTCTGGGCCCCTTCCCATCGCCGCGCCGTCAGACTTGCTGCGCTTTTCCCGGAAAGGGCTTGAGCCCAGGGTTCTCTTTTAGTCGCTTGAGTGCGGGGGCCCAAGAACAGAGTTCCAGAGGCCTGGGGATGCTGGGGCGCGGTGGTGGGCAAGGTGGGGGGTATCGGTTGGTTTCAGGTAGAATTGTCGAGTGCGGGGCCCCGAAAAGAGAGTTCCAGAGGCCTGGGGGTGCCGGGGCGCGGTGGGGGGCCAGGTGGGGGGTATCGGTAGGTTCCAGGCCAAAAATTATCGAGTGCGGTGTCCAAAGAACAGAGTTCCAGAGGCCTGGGGATGCCAGGGCGCGGTGGTGGGCCAGGTGGGGGGTATCGGTCGGTTCGAGGCAAGAAACAGCGCGGGGTGGAGGTGTCGGGGCGCGGTGGGGGCGGGGGGGGGGCGTTTGAATCGGCGAGGGAGGTGCGTTGCATTATGGTCTGCATTTTTGTAGGCTATGTAGAAAGGATATCGCACACGCCTCTGGGGTCGGCGGATTACGATGATGATTACGATGCTGATTACGATGTGATTGCATTGATGCTTACGACGACGATGATGCTTTGCTGCTGCTGATGATGATGATGATGATTATGATGATGATGATGCATGATGATGATATGATGATGATGATGATGCATGATGATGATGATCAGGGGTGGTGATGGTGGTGGTGGTTGGTGGTGGTTGGGGGTGGGGGGGGATGGAGGAGGAGGAGGGGAGGAGGAGGAGGAGGAGGAGGAGGAGGAGGAGGAGGAGGAGGAGGAGGAGGAATGGAGGAGGAGTGAGGAGGAGCGAGGAGGAGGAGGAGGAGGAGGAGGGAGGACGGAGGAGGAGGAGTGAGGCGGAGGGCGGAGGAGAGGAGGAGGCGTGAGGAGGAGGAGGAGGAGGAGTGAGGAGGATGGAGGGAGGAGGAGGAGGAGAGGAGGAGGAGGAATAGGAGTTAAGAATATTGATGAGGAGGCGGGGATGTGGAGGAGGAATAGGAGGAGGGAGGAGGAGGAGGGAGAGGAGGAGCCTGAGGGGAGGACAGGATTGTTGCGAAGCCCCCTCCCCTCTGCGCCGGCTTCCCCCTTCCAACACCCCCCCTCGGCCCCTGCTCCCCTCGGAGCTCTTTCTCTCCTCCGGGTGCGCTCATGTCCGCCCCCTTCTCCTCAGAGCAAACCTTGCCACCTCCCGGGCTGGCGGCGCGCGCCGCGGCGCGCGCGCGGTCGAGCGGTCGTCCCCGCCGTCGCCATCGTCGACGTCGTCGTAGCTGTGTTTCTCCCCTCTCGTCCTCCTCTTCCTCGCCGTGCTATGTTCTTCCTCGCCGTGCTATGTTCTTCCTCCTCTTCCTACGCTCCTCCCTCGTAGCGCTATGCCTTGCCGTGCTATGTTCTTCCTCGCCGTGCTATGTTCCTCGTCTTCCTCGTCGTCGTAGCTGTTTTTCTCCTCTCTCTTCCTCCTTTTCCTCGTCGTACCATGTTCCTCCTCTTCCTCCCCCTTGCGCCTCCTCTTCCTATCTCCCTCCTTCCCGCTTCCCTCTCCTCCTATCCAGGGCTCACGACGGGGTGGTTGGAGTTCCTTAGAGCTGCACCCGCGCTGGCAGCCCCCTCGCGGCACAGTTCCATGTGTTTGAGCAGGAGGAGGAGGAAGAGGAGGAGGAGGAGGAGGAGGAGGAGGAGGAGGAGGAGGAGCAGAAGGGGGAGGAGGAGGAGGAGGATGAGGAGCAGGAGGGAGAGGGGGGATGGTAGGGGAAGGAGGAGGAGGAGGAGAGGAGGAGGAGGAGGAGGAGGAGGAGGAAGGAGGAGGAGGAGGAGGAGGAGGGAGGAGGAGGAGGAGGAGGAGGAGGAGGGGAGGAGGAGGAGGAGGAGGAGGAGGAGGAGGGGAGGAGGAGGAGGAGGAGGAGGAGGAGGATGGGGGGAGGCAGGAGGAGGAGGAGCAGGAGGAGGAGGAGGAGGAGGAGGAGGAGTGAGGAGGAGGAGGAGGAGGAGGAGGAGGAGGAGGAGGAGGAGGGAGGAGGAGGAGGAGGAGGAGGAGGAGGAGGAGGAGGAGGAGGAGGAGGAGGGAGGAGGAGGAGGAGGAGGAGGAGGAGGAGGAGGGGGAGGTGCGTGCGAGCGAGTGAGCGCGCACCACCGGCGCAGCGGACTGGCCCTACGAGAGCAGCGCGGGCGGGTTGGGGCCCAGAGTGGACTTCTGCCGCGGTGCCCCGGCCCATGCATCCACTGTTCTCTTGGTCGTGCCGACGCGCTGCAGCATCCAGCGCGGAAGGTACACGATGGAGGCCGGAGTCGGGAAGATGGGGGCCAGATTTGGAGAGATGTTAACGGGACGGTGGTTGGCGTCGGGGAGATGGCCACAGGTCTGCGGAGTCGGGAACATGGGAGTTAGAAGCGCGGATGTGCAGCCACGGATTTTCTTGGCATCTTTCGGACGTGTGCATGTTTTGTTTGGCGATGACCATCGAGGAGCATGTTGGGCCATCTTGCGAAAGATGCACGCAAGAAACCGAAGCATGCACGGGGAACGGACGTCCGAGCGATGGCAAGTCGGAGTCCGAGAGATGGGTCCAGGAGCGCGAGCGTTGCGAGCCAGATTTGGGGACACGAGGTCCCGAGTCGGAGAGATTGCCACAGGCAGCTTCGTTTCCTGATCTGAGACGTTCGGAGCGCGAGTGAAAGCGTGCTGCGACGACCTTGCGGGCGAAGCCCGCCTCAAAAGTCGCTTTCCCTGTGGCCCCCCCTAGAAACACATGACAGACTACGGGCGAACGACTCGAGAGATAGAAACCAGAGTCGTAGAAAGGGGGAGGCGGAGGAGAGAAACGGAGAGGGGTGAGGAGGAGCGGTAGTGAGAGGAGGCGGGGGGAACGGACAGGTTGGGATGAATACTCAGGAGGCAGGAGGGGGAATGAGGGAGCTGGGATGAAGGAGTCGGGAAAATGACAGATAGATGAAAGAAGAATGCGGGGATCTTTTATTAGGATGAGCAGGATGAGAGGCGATGGAATCATGATGAGGGGATTCGGGAAGATGTAAGGTGGAGAATGAAGCTGGCAGCATGATGAAGAACCACTGCTCACGTTCAAACTCATCTCCGCAGGCTATGTCCTCGGCATGAGCAGTGCGTCTTTCTGCGGCTTGTGGAGCGCCCACTGGATTTAGAATCACCGTTGGACATTCAGTCGGGAGTCTGCCACGCCCCAAAGTGCGCAATGCACGTTTCGGATACACGTTGGCATGTGGCAATGCGTTTAATCATAACATAGCCTCCGTTCTGTACGATGTTCATCCCCTTGCCAACACAAGCACCCAACATTTGAGCAGCACATCGTAGACAGTATGGTTGGCCAAACGCCGCTCCCCCCCTTCGCCCTTGAGACCGCGATGCAAGGATTGGTGCTGCACCTTCGAGCTCAGGGGCTGCCCGCAGGAGCCGCCCTCGCCTGTCTTCGTTGTCCTGCGGTGATGGAGGAGGAGGAGGAGCAGCAGGTGGTCTGGAGTCCGTTTCCTTTCTGGCCCGAGCCCGTTTGGCGCAAACGCGTGTAATGAGACAGGACATCGGGGCGCCCGAGTGAGGTGTGTCTCCACCGAGGGAAGAGGATCCCGATCTCGGCGATGGTGGTGGTATTCTGGCCTCCAAGGTGGCCGAAGTATTACCACCAGCACCGAAATCTAGGATCATCTCCCCACTGTGGAGGCAAACCCCTGAGTTGGTGTTGGTGCCCATTTCCAGGCCTCCATCAGTCTCCAGTCTTCCCGTTCTCCAGGTGGGGTGTTCGAAACATCTGGGTTAGCAGTGCCCTGACTTAGGGGGCTCCTGGGCCACGGCGATCGGCTGCATCGGGCACGGAGGCCCACAGGTTGGCGAAGTTCATGCTGTCGACCTTCGTCGACGAGTTTTCTTCCACCTTGAAGTGTGGGTCGCCTTGGGCCTCGAGCAAGGGCGCCCTCGAGGGCGCGAAGTTGTTCGCGCTTCGCGCTTCGTGGTTCAGCTCCGATTCCGCCTCGTCCTCCTCTTCTCCCCTGGGAGGCGGCGCGAGAGCGCGAAGCTATTCGCGCTCCGCGCGGCGCGAGGCACGAAGTGGGGAGCCCGTGCCGATGGGGGCCTCGACGGGCCTCCCCGTCGACGGCGGAGAGATCTTGGCCGAAGGAAGATTCCGCACCCTGCGCCGAGCAGCTGCCCCGCTCGCCGCGTCTGCCCCCTGGCGCACGCTGCGCTCCTCAGAGCCGCCAGGGAGTCGGGCGGGGGGGGGGTCGCGACCTCAGCCGTTGCCGCGCGGTCCAGGCGAGCCGCGTGCGCAGCACGCTTCGGGTCGGCGCGGGGTGTGCGCTGGGCGGGCTTGGCACCTCTGTGCCGTGTGCACCGCCGCACTATGGCTCCTCCTGGACTCTGCCCTGGTGGCTCGCCAAGGGACGAGGTACGGGGGGAAGAAGGGAAGGGGGCAGGAAGGGGACGCAAGGAGTCACGGGAGGGAATGAGCGGAGGGGGGGCATGCCGAAGGAGGCGGAGGCGGAGGAGGACGACGACGACGAGGATGGGAAGGCAGTTGAGCTGAAGAGAGAGGAGGAGGAAGCTGGCGCATGGGGGGGCAGTGACGTGGGAGAAGGGGGGAACGTTAGGGCGCCGCGCGAGTGCCCACATGACGACGGAAGTGTATACTTCCAGAGGTGGCGCCCAGCGCACTCGGTTTGTGATTTGAGTTGGACGGCGTGGTGCGGATTTTCAGTCCTTCAAAGACCGCTTCCCGTGGTCTGCCTCGCCCATGTTTTCATACACGTTCCGTCTTCGTGTTTGGAGTTTCTTCCCCGTCTTCCTCCCTGCTCCCACTTCGGAGGTCAATCAGCAGCTGTGTCATGTTGATTCTCGTCGTTTCTCTTCGCCCATTCCCCTCCGTGCGTCTCGCTCGCCAAGGGCTCTGCTGCTCTAACCGACTTTCTAGCCTTGGCCACCAGAGAGAATTTCGAGCACCAAGAGAGGACCGAAACTGGAGGACCTGGGCGTGCGGGGCCCCGGGAGGCGGCACCTCGCGTGACACCGCTTCGATACTTCCTCCTGGGTGCTCGCAGCTGCTTCTGGTATGTGGCCCTTGCGCAGGATGGGAGCAACATGAGCCAAGGGGTCGTGGGGGGGGGCTAATTAGTGGCCCTGGAAACGACAGGGCCGTTTTTTGGTCGGTTCCGTTTTGCCCGTGTGTTGACGGTTCCGACGCCGTTTTTTTACTGGTTCCGTCGCCGTTTTTTGACCGGTTCCGGCTCCGGTTCCAATCCTGGAGCTGTTTTTTGCCGTGTCCGGTCGCCGTTTTTTTGCCGTTTCCATTTTCAAGGGACATTTTTTGGAAACGGTGAAAAAACGGCCCTGCCGTTTCCGGGGCCCACAAAGAAGGGGGAAGTTTCGAGAGAGCACGGGGAGGCACGGGATGGGGGAGGCCAGGTAGATGCGGAAGGTTCGTGACGTGTCGACCCGACCGGCGGAGATCCCGCCAGCGGCGTTCCACATGGATCGCCGCGGGCGACCCAGGACCGTTCGATGTGGAACGATCCGGACGTCTCCGAAACGGCCGATCGTTCCAGGCTGAACGATCCCCGCGGTGTCGGAAAAGCTAACTCAGCCACGCGCAGAAGGGGGGGGAGGGAGGGCTTCTTAGAAGCACCCCTGCTTCTTAGAAGGCGCGGGCCTCATCTATAGAGGTAAGGCCGGCGCCTTCGAAGGAGCAGCCTGCTTCTAAGAAGCCCTCCCCCCTCCCCCCACCCCCTTTCAGAGCCCCGAATCATCAGGGGTAACTCGGGTCAGGGATAACTCGGGTTCGTTTTTCGGAAATCCAAACCCGAGTTACCCTGGACCCGAGTTACCCCGGATAACTCGGGTGTCCAGAGCCCCGAACCATCAGGGGTAATTCGGGTCAGGGCTAACTCGGGTTCGTTTTTCGGGAGTCCAAACCCGAGTTATCCCGGACCCGAGTTACCCCGGATAACTCGGGTGCCCAACCCTTGTGCGCGCCGCCCACCAACGCCGCGGTCGACGCGGCGCGGGCCTGCCGTGCGGAGGGGGCGGGAGAGGGCCCGGCCCGGCACAATTTCTCGGCCATGCGGCGCGGCGCGCGCCTGGGCCGCGCCGCGAGGCCACGCAGGTCTTCGCGAAATTCTCGCCGCGGCCCGTGCCGAGGCACCGTGGGGGCCCCCGCTGCTTTCTCCTCTAGGGGAACCTTTTTTTTGATTCGCGGGTCGAGAGCGCACCTCGCAGGCCTAGAGGTTGACACCAACACCGATTTCGGCGGCGTGCCTCCACCGAGGGAAGAAGATCCCGATGTCGGTGATGGTGGCAATATTTTGGCTTCCAAAGTGGCCGAACTATTACCACCAACACCGAAATCTAGGATCATCTTCCCCCTGTGGAGGCAGCCCCCTGTGTTGGTGTTGGTGCCCATTTCCAGGCCTCCAAGCACCTCTTCCGGTCGAAGCTAAGCGGGCCGCGCGGAGTTTGAATGAACCAGAGATGGGGGAGGAGAAACGGGGCGCAGCCTCAGAGCGAGGCCGGGAGGAGGCAAAGCCTCGGAATCAGGCGGTGCCGTGGCCGACGTATTTGCAAAAGGAGCACCGTAGGGGCCCCCGTTGCCTTCTCCTCTACAGGGGAACTAAAGTCGAGCAGTGGCGAAGCGTCCTGGCTCGCCCATAGCCCTACCAAGCAATGTTCTAAGAACCCTTTAGTGCTTCGCACGAAATGTTCTTAGACCATTTCTGGCTGGGGCTGTCTCATTTTAACACATCGGGTTTATGTTCTAAGAACATTGTTTTTGTTTTTCGAACATTTTTGGGTTCTAAGAAGATTTCGTGGTAGGACTTCAGGAATGCCGGGACGGGACGGTCGGTCCCTGCTCAAAAAAGTGACATAAACATGAAAACTCGGAGGTCCGCGAGGATTTCTCGGATCGGCGCTGGACCCCCCCCCCTGGCACGCGGAGCGCGCCAGGGTCGGCGCCGGAGGCGCCGCCGGGGGGGCCCCAGCGCCGATCCGAGAAATCCGCGCGGATCTCCCAGTTTTGATGTTTATCCCACTTTTGGTTCCCCTATAGGGGGCCACATGCGAACCCCCCCCTCCCCCTCAGAAATCGTGGAGGGGTAGGGGTACAGTGCCGTTTTCAGTACATGCTCCGCGAGCGGACCATATATTAGAAATAAAGGGCTGATTAATAAATGCAAGGATGAGTTTATGCATTAATTTATTCATAAATTAATCATGCCTTAAAATTCCTATATATTAGAAAATCCTATGTTTAAAAAACTGCCCTGTAGGGTTCGCACGTGGCCCCCTACGTTTTGTCCCCCCCATTCTCCTCGGCCCCTAGCTATAGGCTCGGTGCGGGCGTGTGTGCGGCCGGCCCCGGGGCTCGGGCCTCCCTCCTCCTGCCTCCTGCTCCCTGCTCCTCTGCCTCCTCCCTCCTCCTCCTCCTCCTCCTCCTCCTCCTCCTCCTCCCCTTCCTCCTCCCTCCTCCTCCTCCTCCTCCTCCTCCTCCCTCCCTCCTCCTCCTCATCCTCCCCTCCTCCTCCTCCTCCTCCTCCTCCTCCTCTCCTCCTCCTCCTCCTCCTCCTCCTCCTCCTCCTCCTCCTCCTCCTCCCCTCACTCCTCCTCCTTCCTCCTCCTCGTCCTCCTCCCCCTCCCTCCTCCTCCATCCTCCTCACTCATCCTCCTCCTCCCTCCTCCTCCTCCTCCTCCTCCTCCTCCTCCTCCTCCATCCTCCTCCTCCTCCCTCCTCCTCCATCCTCCTCCTCCTCCTCGGCCCCTGGCTATTGCTCTTGTGGTTGCTCTTCCGGTGGCTCTCCCTAGACCCTCTCGCGCTGTGAACAAGATCCCGACGAGAGGTGTTTCGCTATCTGGGGGCCCTCACCGGGCCTCGGGACCGTCAGAGAACGACTCAGGATGGAACACCAGTCTGGGGGAAGGGTCCCGACCTTCCTGGGGGTCGCGTCGTGAAGAAGTCCTGACGTCGGGGGTCTGAGTCTTGCATGCCCTTCCTGTCCCTCGTCTCGTTCCGCCGCCCGCCGCGCGTGTGCATGCTGCCGACCCCAGGGCCATCATTGATCACTGGGTACGCACGGCCGATGCAGAGCTGCCAGACAGGTTGACGCAACCGATCGGCTGGATGTTGTCACGTGCTGAGTGGTTGGAGAAGTCGTTCTGGTCATAGACATGGCCCTTCGGCCTCGGGAGCGTTCAGGCTTCACCAGCGATTCCTCTTTGAGGTCATCGTTTGCGTCCTTGGTGCGCAAGGGCACCGACGTCTGCTCCTCTACCGGGCATGCGTGGACGGTATTGGTGGAGTGTCCAGGTTTGACATACCGAAGCGGTCGCGATCGCACTCACTTCACTGTACCGAAAAGTTAGCTTCTTAGATTTTGCTACCGCCCAGGGCAAGTTGCAGTACGCTTGGACCTCTTGAACGGCATATTCCCTTTCGTTGCGTAGTGTCGGTTCGAGCTTTCGAAGCACGCTGTCATTCTTCCATTCTACGACCCCGAAGCCAGCTGCTTCACTAACAGGAGGGATCAGAGTTGCGCAGAGGAGACGGGGAATCAGCAAAGTCAATCTCAAGGGCACGGACGGAAATCATCGCGGATCCATCACACGTTTTTGCTACACGCGTCAATATTGCAATTGCAGCGTAAATTGTGATTTACACACTACGACGTGAGGACCAAACGTTCCGAGTTCCATTTGCACTTCTCTGACTCATTGAGCACATGCTATAACAGACATGCATGCCAGAAGGCGACGAAGTTGATTTTTGAGTGACGGATTGACACAAGACACCACGTGGTCATATTTGACATCATGTGGTACGTGAGCCCGTTTATTCACGAGTACACGAACAAGCAATAAACGTACGCCGAGGAAGTGATTTCTTCACCAAGCAGCCCAAAGCAGTGCTTGCACGTAGTGTTTCTTACTGGTCGTCTAAGGAATTGGGCCTACGCGTCAGTCCGGCGGCGGGTATGTTGTCGCCGTCGCCGCCCTGTCGCCGCCTCTTCGCCGCCCGTCGTCTGTTCCTGCGCGTCCGTCTGGCGGCTATGGTGTCGCCGTTGCCGCCCCGTCGCCGCCTCGTCACCATCGATTGCACAAAATCGAATGCTCGATTGCATCTCATAGTTTGCACAACATCGGTTGTACCGCATATATATATACACACATACACGCATAGATTGTACCACATGTATTGCACCACGTTGATTTAGCAACATCAGTTGTACAACACCGATGGCTCAGCGAGTATTTCACAACATACACTGCACTACTCAGATTGCACTGCATGTACTGCACCGCCTGGAACGCACTGTATGGAATGCATTGCATAGGTTGCCCAACATACATGGCATCACAAATATGGCACCACGTCGGTTGCACCATCTAGATTGCGCAAGACATAGATTGTACCACGTAGATTGCGCCTCATATATTGTTCCACCTACATTGCATCACGTACATTGCACAACACGGGTTGCACAGCATAGGTGCCAGAAACATACAGTTTGAGGTCCACGCAGGCTAGACGTTCTTCATTGGTCGACCTCTCTACTTGACTGTTCACACGTTTGTTTTTGGACACGGACCCAGAACCAACGCCTGGCCGTAGGGCCTCCATTTTTTGTTGTGGCCATCCGATGGGGTCTTGCCTCGCCTGCTCGCATGGGTTGCGATGGCGACTGCTGCGCTGCTGTATGACGGCCAGCTGGCACAGCAGCATTCCCATGTTTTGTTTATGTGGAGCTCAGCTTGCCCCAACTTGACGCATGCATCGTCTTACACCAGAGGCAGCGTACAAGATGAGCCGTGCCAATGCGTATAATCTTTGATATTCATTGGCTTGCCCAGGATCGGTGCAGATGTAATGAGCTGCCTGCGGCAAGTCCCGCCACAGTGCCAGCACAGCTTTCTCGGTTGTCTGTGCTTTCTCGGTTGTCTGTGCTCGGGGCAGCACGGAGGCACAGACGAATGGCATCTCTTGTGTTTGGAGCTCGATCGGTCGTAACACGTGGCGCGCCGTTTATTGGGCCGCTTTGGGAGGTTATGGGAGCATCGTGCTTGCGGCCGTCATTTGTGACACCCAGGTGTTCTGAAGATTGTGTTGCGTCTTTGATGTATGTGAGCTTGTCTGGTGATGTTGATGATGCTGATGATGATGATGATGATGATGATGATGATGCTGACGACGATGGTGATGGTTGTTATGCGAATGCTGGTGTTGTTGACGTTGATATGGCGGTGATGCTGAGGATGACGGCGAGGACGGTGATCTGATGTTCATGGCAATGGGAAAGGCATTGGGAATTCTGATGGTGTTGCTGATGATGGTGATGACGCCGGCAATGATGATGGTGATGGTGACGGCGATTGTGATGGTGATGGTGATGTCGATGTTGATGATGTTGATAAGATTGGTGATGTTGCTGATGATGTTGATGCTGATGTTGATGATGGTGACTGTGATGGTGATTGTGATGATATTGATGATGGTCATGATGATGAGTATTATGATGATGATGCTGATGATGATGCAGATGATTGGGATGAGGATGCTGATGATGATGATGCTGATGATGAGGATGAGGATGAGGACGATCATGACAATTATGTGATTGAGGAGACGGAAGAGGAGCATAATAGTGAGGAGGAGCAGGAGGAGGAGGCGGATCAGGAGGATAAGGAGGACGAGGAACGTCGTCACCTATGACTTTTTCACTCGTCACTTCCTGAGGAGCCTTCATGGGCCTTTTTGGGTCCTTTGGGGCTGCTTTATGGGCTGCCTGGGGCGGAAGGCTCGAATTGTCGGTGCGTGTTCCCCTCTTGGGCCCTTCTTAGGGCAGTCGTGGGCCCTCTTGGGCAGTTTTCGGCGCCCTTGTACCTGTCTTGGAGCTCTTTTTGGCTACCTTGGGCCCCCCTTGTGAGCGTTGCGGGTCTTCTTGGGGCGGTCTTGGGGGCCTCCTGAGTCGTGTTGGGACGTCGGAAGCTCGAAAAGGCGAGAACCCTAGACGCATCGCGAAAGTCACCAGAACTTCAAAGATTTTTGCCTCTCGGGGCCCTCTCGGGAAGGCTCTCGGGAAGGCTCTCGGGGTTCTCTTGGGACGCCTCAAAGGCATGTAAGGCCGTCTTGGCCATCTTGGGCGCCATACTTGGCCGTCTTCGATGCATTTTGGCCTTGGGAGCGCGAATTTGGTGCATTTTACAAGGGATTGTGGCCTCGGGCAGGGGGGGCGATCATCGAGGATCGAAGAAACCCTAACCCTAAGCAATCAGTGAAGACGTGGCCTCACTCATGTCCCCGTCTTTGCATCTGGGCGGTTTGTTCGATACACCTGCAGAAAAGATCCTGAGTCCCTAATGTCTCTGGTCCTCCCATCTCAGGTCCCCTGCCAAATGGTTCGGGGTCTCTTTATTGCTGATCAGGCGATGCGCGCGGCCCAGCGCTAGTAGAGGGGGGCGGTCACCAGAAGCTTACACAATCCCTGCCAGGCAGCACTTGGCATTCTGGCACGCCCAAAGGGGCCAGGTGGGCACGGTGGCGGACAGCGGGTGCCCTCCTACCCTCCACCTCCGCCTTCCATCCCTTCCGACCTCCGCGGAAGGTGCGGAAGAATTCATCGAAGCGCATGGAAGCCTGATGGAGTTCAGAGGGGGCGGAAGGTTCGGGCGGAACGTCTGGAAGAATGAGGCGGAGGGCACCGAGGAGGGGAATGCGGGTTGGGGGAGGGGGGGGGGGAGCGAGTGGCGCAGTTGTGCCGCCAGGTCTCATGGTGCCGTCCGGCCTACCTTCGCCGCGATGGCAGCGGTGGCCGTGGGCGCGGCCGCCGCCGTTGCCGCGGCGGCCTCCGGGCTGTGGCGACACAGAGGCGCGCCCGCGGTGGAACGGGAGGGTGATGGAGGACAATCGTGTTGACCCAGTAGGGGGCCCGAGCCTCCTGCCAGCACCTCGGATCGAGTGCCGGGCTGTGCCGCCGATGGTGGCAGATGGGGCGGCACAGCCTCGAGGCAAGGCGGCAACGGTGTCAGGCGAATGTGTGCCCCCCCCTTTGGGGCATACCCTCGAAGTTGGGTATCTCGCTATCCACTGATCGTTCCCAGTGTGCACGCATCGATACGCGTGTATACATCTGTACACACATATAGATTTACATTCTCCAGATTGATAGCATTATTTGGTCGCCGGTCTCACATTCAATACATGTGTCGGTACATCCATACACACATATATATATATAGATATATGTACATAAATATATAAATTTATATATATATATATATATATATATCCGTAAGGGCTTCGCCCCCATGCCGCCGGCTCCTTCTCTTAGAATGGAATTTGCCAGAGCTGTGTTGGGATGCCTGGGCGTTGACGTGCAGCGAAGTTGGCTCTTCACGTGAGGGCCAATATCGATGTACGAGGGTTTGTGGTTTCGGTGGCGCGACTATCAGGTAAGTTACAATGGTTTATGGCTTCGGGGACGCGACCATTGCGTAATTGACGAGGGTTTGTGGCCTCGGGGACGCAACTATTTGATAATGTAAACATGTGTATGGCCTCGGGGGCGCAAATGTTCTATAATTTACTGAGGTTCATGGCCTCGGGGACGCGAGTATTGAAATTTGCGAAGGGTTTGTTGCCTCGGGGTCGCAAGTATGGTGTAAAGTGCAAAGGTTTATGGCCCTGGGGACGCGAGTATTGAGTAATTGTCGAAGGTTTATGGCTTCGGGGGCGCGAATATTCCATACTTTCTATGGGTTTATGGTCTCAGAGGGCGCGAATCAGTATTCATTTACGAGGGTGCATGGCCTCGGGGACGCGAATATTGTGTATTTTACTAAGGATTGTTTGGGCCTCGGGGACGCGAATACGGCGTAATTCAATTGGGATTATGGCTTCGTGGACGCGAATATCATGTACGTTTACTTGTCACACGCCCCCCCAGGAATTCAGACAACGCGATATGGGCGTGGTAAAAAAGCTGGGTTGGGGCTCTCCCCCCTCGCGCGTTCAGCAACAATTCACAGTAAGGAATCAGAAAGCAGGACTGTAACAGTGGAAACTGGAAACTGGAACAGGGAGCTGCAGTCCTCATCCTCGCAGCCTGGTGGCCCCGCAAGGGAGCCGGCGGATATATACACTTGTGTATATGTATCTCGACCGGTTTCAAGCCACACGCAGATATACACACATCCGCCACCGTATCTCGCGACACGAAGCGGAGTGCGGCCCCACGGGGGGCCCACGAGATGCCGCAGGAGGGGAGAACACGAGCCGACACCTCGAGCCCTCTTCGCCGCAGCGTCTTCCCCCGGTCGCCCGATGCACCCTCTGCGCGTCGCGTGCGGCAGCGCGCTCTGACGCTGATCGGCGCTCCCTCGCTCCAGCCGCCAGCACCTCCCGGGCTGCGTGCCGCGCCCGGCGGGCGGCTCGGCCAGCGCGGACCGAGCGCGCGGAGCCCATCGATGTGCCACCCTGCGCCGGGCGGAGGAGGGGGATCCCGTCGTGGCCCCCCCCCGTCTCGAGTCGGCACGGAGCGAGATGGGTACGGAGGGGATGGGTACAGTGCCCAACAGCGGTTCCTGTTCCTTCTGAACAGGACTCGCTGTCGGAGTCCCCGCGACCGCGGCCTGCCTCGAGGAAGCGCATGCATGGATCAAGGCATCCTCCTCCTCCTCCTCCTCCTCCTCCTCCTCCTCCTCCGCGTGGGTTCGCGACGAGCAGCCGCTCCCACAAAAGTTCGGCGAGCTCTCCGTTCCCAAAAACCAGGCGGCGCTGGCGCTTCATGCTTCGCCACGGTCGTGGGCGCCCGACCCACGGATCCGTCACCCCTGTTGGCGTGACCCCGAGCTTCCCCGCCCGATCCTCCCCTCCCGGGCCTCCCGTCGTCGTCGCCGTCGCCGTCGTCGTCGTCGTCGTCGTCGTCGTCGTCCTCGTCGTCGTCCTCGTTGTCTTCCTCGTCCTCGTTGTCGTCCTCGTCCTCGTCGTCGTCCTTGTCCTCGTCGTCGTCGTCGTCCTCGTCGTCGTCCGCGTTGTCGTCGTCGTCCTCGTCGTCGTCGTCCTCGTCGTCGTCGTCGTCCTTGTCGTCGTTGTCGTCGTCCTCGTCGTCGTCCGCGTCGTCGCCCTCGTTGTCGTCCTCGTCGTTGTCGTCCTCGCTGTCGTCCTCGTCCTCGTCGTCGTTGTCGTCCTCGCTGTCGTCGCTGTCGTCGTCGCGATGGGCTGGCCAGGCCGTGCTTCCCGCAGCCCGCGGGCGGCCGCCCCGCGCGCCGCCGGCGGCGAGCCCGAGGCGTTGCCGCTGGCCCCCGCGGCGGCCGCCTGAGGGCCGCCGCGCGGCGCCGCCCTGCGCTGCCCCACGCACGAGCCACGGCCACGAGCCGCCATCACATTTTATCGTCTCCAATCGTATCGGGAGCTCCCGTGGCAGAAGAGCACCCAGAACGAGGTCCTCCGTGACAGAGGGGGGGCATCTTAGACCCCCTCTGTGACAGAGGGGGGGCATCTTAGACCCCCTCTGTGACAGAGGGGGGGCCAAAAAGCAAATGATCACTTGAATGCGGCTTCTGGATTAGCATTGAGTCGGCACGCATGGCAGGTCCACGCCACACGAGCCACGAGCCACGAGCCGCACGAGTCACGGCCGTGGAGCCCCACGCGAGCCACAGCCACCGGCCACGAGCCACAGCGCACTGCGCCCATGAAGGGTTCGCGCGCCCTCGTCCGGTTGCACGTGTGGGTCCCTGCCCAAGCCGGCGTGGCTCTAATCTACTCTGGCCTTGATCACCAGAAGGAGTTTCGAGCACCAAGAAAGTACCGAAACTGCAGGGTGTTCACGTCTCAGGCCGTGGGGGGCAATACTCGTTCGACACTTCGCCAGCGTGTCGGACAGACAGTGTTTCGATACTTTTCTGGCTGCTCGACATTACTCCTGGGATGTTGTCCTTACGCACACTGGAAACAGCATAAGCCCAATATGTTCTGGGCCTCCCCGATGGGGTCGGAGTAGATGAAGTTGGAGGATCGCGCGGCATCGCCGATGCATCGGCGATGTGGCGCAATGTTGCAGCCACAGACATCATGCTAGCATAAGGACTTGGCGTCGCGCGGAGGCGTGTTTTTTTTTGTTTTTGTTTCCGGCGAGGACCATCGAGGACCGACGCACACGCACGGGGAGTGGACGTCCGAGCGATGGCAACATAACGAACGCGGAATGTGGAACGAAGGGTCTCGTCAGGCCACGGCGAGTTTCGGCCGCGAGCGAATTTCCCGGCCACAGCTATCGTGCTACCACAAGTCTCTCCAGGCCTCCCAAGTAGGGTCGGAGTAGATGGGGTCGGAGGATCGCGCCGCATCGCCGATGGCTCGGCGATGCGGCTCGATGTGGAGCCCGACTTTTTTCTCCAAGCCATTGTCGTCGATATGCCGCCGGCGTCGCCGATGTACCACCGATGCATCGCCGATGCATCGCTGATGCGGCGCGATCATCTGGCCCCATCTGCTCGGGCCCCAGCTGGGGAGGCCTCTGGGAACGCTGAGCTGGGGAGCGAGGGGGCGCTGCCGGCCACGGCGAGCCTCGGCCACGAGGGAGGTCCCCGACCCTGGATCCATCCAAGAGCAGCGCCCTGAAAAAGTCGGAGCTCCCCCCTGGGCCCTGAAAGTTTGAGAAGGCCCGCCCCGTATCACCTCCGCCCCCCTGGGGGGGGGAGGAGAGGGGGCGGGGCTTCTCAGGAGGCTTGGGAGTGCCCCCCCTTGCCTTCCGAGAAGTGTACGAAGCCCTCCCGGGAGACACACAGAGAGCAGCCCTTCGGGAGACGCGAGGGCTTCTGAGGAGCCCCGCCGCCCTCTGGGAAGGCCGTCTCCGTCTCCTTTCCCCACCCCCCCCTCGCTCGCCGACGAGCCGAAGCGAGCAACACTGTAGGTGGGGCAGCGGTCTGCGGTGCTGCTCCGCCCTCGCCAGCGTGGGCCCCCCTGGGGAGGATGGTCGCGCGCGCGCGTTGCCAACTCATTCGGGAGGGAAAGAAACACACAGACACAATTCATCGTCGATTCCTCAGAAAATATGGGAAAATATGGGAAGTGGGGGGGGGAGACAGAAACCCACAAAGTATAGGAAAATATTGGGAATCCTGTTATTTGTGTGTATTTATCCGGAAGGGCTTCGCCCCCTGCCGCCGGCCCCCTCTCTCGGAGAATGGGCCATGGAAGAGCTAAGTCATGAGGCCTTGGCGCTGTCGTGAAGCAGTATCGAAACTTCATGCGAAGCCGATTCGCAATCAGCAAAACCAACTGATCACAAGAGGGGTTACCACACCTGGCGATTGGTAAGACGTGTATGGTTTACGGGCTTGGTTACCACACCTTGCGATTAAAGGGCCGAGGGAGTTCTCGCAGTTTGGGTTACCACGCCTTGCGATGGATGTGCGTGAAGGGTGGCACCGAATTTCAGAAATGTGCCGAATCCCCTGTGTTTTTGGACCCTGACCCCGCGGATCTGCGTGAGGGGTGGCACCGAATTTCAGAAATGTGGCAAATCCCATGTGTTTTTGGACCCTGACCCCGCGGATCTGCGTGAGGGGTGGCACCGAATTTCAGAAATGTGGCAAATCCCCTGTGTTTTTGGACCCTGACCCCGCGGATCTGCGTGAGGGGTGGCACCGAATTTCAGAAATGTGGCAAATCCCATGTGTTTTTGGACCCTGACCCCGCGGATCTGCGTGAGGGGTGGCACCGAATTTCAGAAATGTGGCAAATCCCATGTGTTTTTGGACCCTGACCCCGCGGATCTGCGTGAGGGGTGGCACCGAATTTCAGAAATGTGGCAAATCCATGTGTTTTTGGACCCTGACCCCGCGGATCTGCGTGAGGGGTGGCACCGAATTTCAGAAATGTGGCAAATCTCATGTGTTTTTGGACCCTGACCCCGCGGATCTGCGTGAGGGGTGTTGATTTCGAGCCCCCCCAGCAATTCAGACAACGCGCCCAGGAGACGCTAAAATCTGGTTTGGGCCTCCCCCCCCCTCGCGCGGTCAATCAACTAGTTACAGTAACCAGCAAGAAGCAGAACTGTAACACTGGAAACTACAAGCTACAACTGGTACAGGAAACTGCGAACCCGCGCCTACAGCCTGGTGGCCCCACAAGGGGGCCGGCGGATTTGTATGTTTGTGGGCCCCTTCATTCATACTGGGTGTCCCGAGGAATCTCCTCGATCCGCCTCTCCGTGCTCGCCCTCTTCAGATGTTGGCAGTCCGCTGTTCCTCCCTCGCCTGTCTTCCCTCTTGCGCCTTCCGTGCCTCCCATCCCTCCCGGGTCTGTGCCCCGAGTTCTCCGCCGACGCTGCCACTTCCACAGTGCCGTCGTACCAGAGCTGCCGCTCGGTTCGTGCGTGGCTTGCAGAGCACGCTTGCCTCACCAGGGCATCCGGCACGCCCGATTGCCCCCAGGTGCTCTGGCAGAAGTAGGAATTTATTTCGACGTGCCGTTGGCACGAATTCGCGCATCGGAATTCGTGAATTCGCGTTTGTTGGGTAGATGCGCATTGGTCCACTTCGACGTGCTTGTTCTCCGCCCACAGGGACCTGTCGCGTCGTGGCATGAAACGGGGCCGCCCGCTACCGTCGTCCCGTCGTCTGGTCCTCTCCTCTGGTCGGTCTTGTTGCTTTGTTGATGTGTCGTCTGTTTCCGTCGTCTTCCCGTCGTTTGTCCGTCGCTATTGTTGATGCGTGTCCGTTTCCGTCGTCTTCTTCTCTCCTCCCGGCTATCCTTCTGTGATGGTTGTCCACCGCTCTCCTCGTGCCCTTGCTCGCCCACCCTTGAGGAGAGGGTGGACAGAGAGAGAGAGAGACAAAACAAAAAAACAAAACACAAGCAACCACCAAGAGAGAGAGAGAGAGAGAGATAACAAAAACAGGAAACGCGGGAAGGTCATCGAGAGGGGACGACGAGGACGAGGCCAGCAGATGAAGGAGAATGGGAGCAGGACGAGAATGGCAGCAGTCAGTCGTTGGAGTGGTTATTGTGCACGCTCCGCGTATTCATTCAGACAGTGCCATACGCTCCTTGGTCAAGTACCTGCTAGAGTAGAACCCCACCATTTTCGAGCAATGGACGGAATTCGTGGTGCAATACGGCGATGGGATAACAGGCGATAAGACCGATGAAGGGTCGTGGCCCCCAGGGCGTCTTCGCCAGTTCCTGGTCAAGATCTACGGAGAGACGATCCCCGACAACTGCCACCCCCCCAGCATCCCATGGGACGGCCAGCGGGCCGCGGCGGCACGAGTGATTCTAACGAGAGCCAGCGGGATGTATGAGGCCAGGTGGTGCATGTACGCTGCCGACCTAGCTGAACAGCGGGGCCAGTGTCCCCTCCGCCAGCGGCTCAGCACCCTATTGACAGACCTTATGGGGATGGACCCCACTGCCCTCGCCGACGGAACCATCAGAATGCTCGCCAACCGAGACCCGCTCGAGACAGGCACGGACACCGCTACAGCAACCGAGTATCCAGCGGCGACCTGGCTAAACAGAACAGGCGAGGCAGCAGACACCCCCCCAGCAGACAGCCACGGCCCAGAGCGGGATGCTGCTCCAGGCCGCCCCTCCGGAGCAGACCCGCATGCCCCAGGAGCCGACGGGGCCAACGATCCTCCTGCGGAAAGAGTAGGCCCTTCCAGCCAGCCAGACAGGCAAAACCGAGGGCGAACCCGAGGCCCCCGATTGGGACGAGGATGCGAGGAGCGAGTCAGACACAGCCCAAGACACGAGCCCAGCCGCTAGCCCGACACCAGTGGCGGACGAAGGCGAGGAAGAGGACCCCTTCGACCCCCTAAACGTCCTTAAGAACACGCCCACAAGGACCAATTCCTGGACCCCGTTCTCACAAACCGTCGATCGAGCTGCCACCCGGGAGGTTAGGAGTGCGAGAGACAGCTCAGAGAGGGCAAGCAGCTCTGCCTGGGACATCATGGGTGCCAGGGACGACCGCACCCTCAGCCGCACGGCAGGAGACAAGGGACGCCACCGGCCTGCGTCAGAAGACACAAAGGACGGGGAAGGACGTGCCGCCAAATCACCAAGGGGCAACCCCTCGCGAACGGAGATCCACAAGGCGCCCTGGAGACACGTCAGGATCGCACAGCCACGCCGCGAAGACCCGAGCGACCCCATGGGAGGCCATCCCATGTACATGCGTACCGTAGCAACTGCAGACGTGGAAAGGGACGAAACAGTGCAGGACAATATTGTACGCCTACAGAAGAGGCTGGGAGGAGCGTTCAATGGCATATGGGGCGCATGGGTCAGGGGGGCTGCCCTGGAGCT